CAAGCCCCCCCCAGCACACATCATAAACTTCCCCTCTCTCTCCCAAGCCCCCCAGCACACATCATAAACTTCCCTCAAGCTCCCCAGCACACATCATAAACTTCCCCTCCCTCCCCTGCTTGCATCCTTGCAGGGAGGAGGCACATCATCATTTGATGGTGATCCAATGGTGATTAGTAAGGTCTAGGGCAGACCTTACTAATCATTCGGCCGGAGCTCAGAACTGACAGCTCTGGCCGTAGTTGACAGGAGCAGCTCTGTGGTCTGCACCCGACAGAGCTGCAGACCTTGTAGCTGCTCCCACAAGTAAGGCACGTGGTCCGTGACCGTATGCCCGACTTTTCAGCTGGCTGTGGGCCACATAGTACAGGCTTGCAGGCCGGTACTTTTGAGACCCCTGCTCTACTGGAAACTGCAGACAAAAGCTGATCATAGTTCAAGCTGGCCAATTACTGCTGGATATGGTTATTCATCCCTAGGGCGCCAGTACGGAGGCACTTGGCACATGTAAGCAAAATTGAAGTCAAGTCTTTATCTGCCTTCATGTTCAAGTCAGTGAAGTACGGTAGGAAGGTTGGCGTACAGCCAGTTATCACTTTCATAAGAAGCTGGATAATGGTAGTCTCAGTGTTTCTACTTCGCATTGCCTCTCTGAGGTGAAGCAAAAGGAATAAGAGAACTCCATTCCTTCACGAAGGGCAGTGCAGGTGTCTAAGGCCTGGTTCACACCTGGGCGTTTTGTAGCGCGTTCGAACGCTGCGCAAAACGCTCGAACACCGAAATCCCATTATTTCCTATGGGTATGGTTCACACCTGGGCATATTACAGGCCGTATGAACGCGCTACAAAACGCCCTACGCCCAAAGAAGTACAGGAGCTTCTATGGGGCGTTTTTGTTGCGCGTTTCCATTGGGATACAGCCAAGAAGCCCTCGGAAATGTGTGTTTGTTTGCATGTTTTTTTTACCGCGAATCGCGGTAACTAAACGTGGGACAAATGCGCATATTTGATACGCCTAGGTGTGAACCCAGCCTAAACTTCTTTTACTTGATTAAGGGGATGCGGACGCTTGAAACATCTTGAGCTCACTGAACCATTAAACATTCCAACTCTAAAGATTACCATGGAATAGTACATTCTTCAGACACAGCCCCACCTCAACACCCCCCACCCCCCTCCGATGCTTGCATGCATTATTTTTTATTGTGCATGTGTATATATTTCCTGGTGCTTTCAGCCAGCATGGGATACTGCAGCTGTTACATGCTGGCTCTAAGCAGGGGAGATGACGATCTCTTAGCTCAGTGGTGGCGAACCTTGGCATTCCAGCTGTGCCAAAACTACAAATCCCAACATGCATCTGCCTCTGGGAGTTATGTCTGTGGCTGTCAGAGCCTTGCAATGCCTCATGGGACTTGTAGTTCCAAAACAGCTGGAGTGCCAAGGTTCGCCACCACTGTCTTAGCTCATGGTCTCTTCTCCCACTGCCCCCAAACAGGGATTCCTCCCCTCTATATATTCCTTTAGCATTGGTTGAAGCAACAGCCAGGCTGCACACGGAGGCAAAGTCAGTTGGGCAGTCTGGGTGGATCTTGATTGCAGCACAGCTGTGCGGTGCCATCTGCTGACTTCTTAAATCTGCTGATTAATAAATGTATTCCTGTGACCTACAAGAACTAAAGCTAAAAAAAAAGTTTTCTTTCACTTTTAAAGGTTTGTATAAAACTCCCAGTCTTTCTAGCATGAGAGATGCTGTGCTTTCAGTATCTTTGTGCAGGACTGTCACTGTGCGGAAGTAAATTGCAGTCACATTGTCTTCCACAGTTCAACACTTGTACTTCATAACAAAAGGTCATTATCTGCTGCAGTCTCTGCAGATGCATTCCTGTAACGGGCTATTATTACAATACAAATTGGTAAACTAAATGTGAGATTCTAGTCCATCACAGGAGCGAGCTTGGAGCGGTGCCTACTTTCTAAAACACGGGGACCATGGGGGAACAAAAGTAGCCGCCCACCAGAAGGAAAGACGGTGTCTGAACCAATTCACATCTAGGTCTGCCTTCTTATAAATTGTATGTTCTTTTTTTTTTCTTCCCCCTAAAGCCTCTATTCCTCGTTTTCTAGTGGGTCCCCGCAGTGCTCATTCTCCCGCCCCCTGCAGCCAGTGGCTAATTGGCTGCTATGGAGGTACTCGTGTGCGTGTTCCCGCAGTGTCTATGTGCGTACATATACGCACAGCCCTGCGGCAGGCCAGGCACCTTCTCTTCTTCCTGAAGGGTGATGGATGGTAAAAGAAGCCTACGGCTCCTCTGCCCTCAGTATCCTCCCCCTGCAACCAGGAAGTTCTGAGTTTAGTGGCCCTTTTTAATGCGATTTAAAATAATGGCAGTCAATTTTTGCAGTGTAACAGTCGGTATTCTTATGCCAGTGTGATTTACTCCATTATTATTTTTTTTTTTTGCTGAGAGTTGGTATAGTAATATATTGGGTTTTATCTCATCAGTTACTGAAAAGGAGGCCGACCAGTTGCAGTGAAATACAAAAGAAAAATCTATTTCAGAACTGGCTAAGTATGAATAATCATTTAATGATCCCTGATGGCAGTGGCCTCTTTTTAGCAGGATAATGAACCCTGCCACACTGCAAAAATGGTTCAAAACCTTGAACTCACAACATTGCTTATGAGGTGTTGATTTGGCCTCCATGTTCATATTCTCCAGCTCTCAATCCAATTGAGCATCTGTGGCATGTGCTGGAAAAACAAGTCCGATCCTTGAGGCCCCACCTTGCAACTTACAGGACTTAAAGGATCTGCTAATGACGGCTTGGTGCCAGATACAGCATGCCTCCAGAGGCCTAGTAGAGTACAT